CATCTTTAAATGAAGCAAATTCTATAAACACATACCCTTTGTTATTGTTGTTATTGTGTCCTGTGGAGTCAGAACCAACCCATAGCTGACCCTCCAGCAGGTTTTCAGAGGCTGTTAATCACACGGGAGGAGACTGCCCATCCTTCTCTCATGGAGCAGCTGGTGGCCTTAAACCACGTGCCTTTGGGATTGTTCACTAGACCACCAGAGCATACCCTTTAATTTGCCATTTTGGTTCTGAGGCACGTTGATAGCAGTTGCTTTCTCACGTATTTCTCGAAGAGTTTCTTCTCCTGCATTGTAGGTTGGCAGCACCTGCTTTGTCCATTCCCTGGCTCACAGAGGAAGATCTCTACCGTTGACTCCTTTCTAGTGAATCACAGTAGTTTACCTGGTCAACCTTTGGCGTTGGAACACAAAATATTTAGAGAAAATATTTGTCTTTCAGGGGACTTGTTGCTAAGTGTACTAGTGAAGATTACTTGCATTACTCTCAGTTCCAAATCAATTAAAAAAGAAATCTAAAACTAACCTACACAGATCACAACACGAAGGCATTGTTTAAAATCTTCCATTTTTCCATCTGTTTGTGTTTTTCTGAACCACTGTTGATGCTAACTTAGACTCAAATTTACGTAAGAGTCAGAAACCATCTAACTGTTCCCCAACCTTTTCATCTGCTACTAAGGTCTCTTAAAAGGATTTCAACTTCGCCTGAGATGGGAGGAGGAGGAGGTGGGGGCGGTGGTGGTGGTGGTGGTGGTGGTGGTAGAGGTGGCAGAGGTAGAGATTTAAATAAAGGGTGGTTTTCGTCATCCTCAAGAGGAAAAAAAAAATAGGTTGCTTAAAACTGGAGTTTCTGATTTATCTCTCCAAGGGCTCGACTTTTCCACCTCTGTGGTCCTGATTTTGACCTTTGACTCGAGGGCAGTAGAAGGGATATTGACTAACCATTGATCTCTGTTCCCCGTTTTTCCTCCAAGGTTTTCTCAGCATCAGCTTCCATCTTAAATTTGAGATAAGCAATCCCGTTACTCTTCACATCTTAATCTTCGCAGATTAGTCAGTCTGGTCTCCATACTTCAAACGCTTCTTTTGATTCTTCCTGAGTGACTTTTAAGGCACATTTTTGGCCAAAAGTGTCCTGGCCTCTCGATCTTTCTGTCTTTTCTCTTTTGTCTCTATAGTTTGATTTCATTGTCAAAGACTTTTAAACCAGTGAGTTCCAAGACTCTTTCCAGGTTCTCAGCAGACTCAAAATCCATATAGCCACACTTTCTAGTCATATAGGTTCTGACATCTGTAACTGTGAGATCATTTTTAGCAAAAATATCACTGAGACCAGTAATTTTTTCTTGTCAAGTTTTAAAAAGTTTTTTCTATATGCTTTTTCTTTTATTAATTTTTAAATTTTACATTAGTTTGCTACAAAGTTCATATACATTGGGTTTAATACTGTTTTCCTTTACTTTGTGTTTCATACAATCATTCTTATTCATTATGTTTTATAAAGTAAGTCACCATTCAACAATGCCCACTGTTACCCTGCCTTTCCAGATCTTCACTGGGTGTTTCTCATTTTCTTTCCTTCCCTCCCTCAACCCACCAAATTATGTGATTTTATGATTTCTCCCCACCCCCTCACACCTCTGTTCCCACACCTTCCCCCCTTGGATTTCCATACACGTTTTACTAGTTATCCTTCTGTTTTTACAATAATGGTCCTATGCAGTATATGTCCTTATGAGACTAAGTTTGTTTACTCAGCATAATGCCCCCCCAGTCTTCCCGAGTTATGTAGTAATTTTCCAAATCATTGCTCCTGAGTGCTATGTAGTATTCCATTGTGTGAATGTACCACAATGTCTTAATCCATTAAATTGTGTTTGGACATTTGGACTGTTTTCATATTCTTTTGATTGTGAATAAATGCTGCTGTGAACATTTGTGTACAACTCTCCATTTGTGTTTCAGGTCTAATTTCCTTTGGAGTAGAATAGCTGGATTATATGGAATTGCTATGTTCTGCTTTTTGAGGAAATGTCAAACTGCCTTCTAGAGTAGTTGTACCATTTTACAATCCCACCAACAATGTGTAAGAGTTCCTATCTTTCCACATCCCCTCCAACATTTACTACTTACTTTCTGTCCTGCTAAACTTTGCCACTGCTACTGGGGTAAGATGCTATCTCATTGTGGTTTTGATTTGCATCTCTCTCATTGCCAGTGATTTTGAGCATTTCTTCATGTGTCTGTTGGACATCCGGATGTCCTCCTCTGTGAAAAATTTTTCCATGGGAGACCAGTTTTGAATTCAGGAGCTGATTTGTTGCTGTTAAGGTTTCCAACAAAGGGATTGAAAGTTGAAGTTGGCTCTATAGCTTCTGCTTTCTGTTTCTTGTCTTTCTGTTTGGTCATTCCCTGTCCAATTTTCCACATACTTCTTTGACAGGTTCTTCCTCCTCTTCACCATCATCCCGTCATTATCCTCCCCTTTGCCGTCGTCTTCATCCTCAGCCACATCCTTAGCTTTTGCAAAAGGCACTTTGGCAGGAGCTTTCTTTCCTTTTGCTGATGTGGCCTCCCTAGTTCAGAGTCATCTTCATCATCATCTTCCTCCTCATCCTCCTCATCGTCCTCTTTCTCTGAGCCGGGGGCAGCTGCTTATGTTTTAATCATCTCTGGCTCAGATTCATCTTCCTCCTCCTCATCTTCCTCATTATCTTCCTCACTCTCATCCTTCTTGCCATCCTCTGCCCTGTTGGCTGCCACAGCAGCTAGCTCCCTGTTTACCGGAGGTGTTACCACGCTTGGTCTGGCACGGCACCCTTGCTGCCAGGTGTTGTTACAACTCTGACAGTGTAACTGCCTTCTTGGCTGGTAAAAAAACCACTGCCTTTTGTGTTGGGGACACAGTCACTCTTTTTGCGGGCACTGTAGCATTCTTGCCTTTTTTCTGAGGAATGACAGCCTCATCTCCACTGCCTTCCTCTCTTCATCATCATCTGACATGTCTCATCCTCACTGTGTTCTAATGTCTCCTTGTGGGGAGGAGCCAACTTCTTGGCATCACCTTGCTTTTTACCAGCTTGTGTGAGCCCCACCAGGATGGCACCTGGGGGGGGTGATGGAATGTGTCAAGGCCAGGGACGCAGGGTGACCCTACAGGACACTAAGCAGGGCTGATGGTGGGTATGAGTACCAAGGAGCCTCAGTCACACACACCTGACTGCCAGCTAAAGCTCAAGACTCTGAACTGATGTATTTTTGCTTTTATTTCCTTTGTTCTTTGCCCAGCTCTCTCCCCTGCAGTGGTACCTGTGTTTTCAGAGACTCAATATACCAGAAAAGGGAGACAGATTTTAAGCACAGTGATACATTCATCCTACCACTGATTTCTAATAAGGATTCCCTGTGTTGAGTGCAGAAGACAAGAGTGCTCACCTTCACCATCCCATGAACAAAACTATACGCACTCAGATAAATCTGAGAGCCGGAGGGATTGGACTCCAGTTCTGAGAAGTGCCTGTAGAGGAAGCAAACCCCAAATTCACTGTGGCCTGAGGGTGGCAATATCAGCAAAGAGGAGATGATCGTGGTGTGTGTTGGGTGGCTTCATAGTGTTCTGACTCTTTCGCTCTTTGCCTAAGAAAATACTGGTTCTGTGTGTTCAAGAGTAGCAAAATTGTATAAGCACCAATAAACCCCATTGAGTTCCTAGTTGCACTATTGTAGTATGGCAGGTAGTAGGATGAAATCTTTTGTATCTGAGAAGGTGAATACATTTCAGAGTTGTTATGTATGAGAATAAGAGGGGTTTTACCTGCCAAAAAAATAAACATGTTGCTTGTCTGAGGAGATATCATATGATGACCCAAAACCCAGATCCTGGATCCCTGTTTAAACACTGTAACAGTCCATTAATGCCTTTTATTCAACTAAAAAAATAGAAAACACCCCCAAAATAAAAGCAAACAAGACAACTCAGGAGAAGAGTACTTAGAATTGCTAGTGATTAAGTTTCTTCTACTGAGAAGACGTACGTGTTCTAATTGAAGTATAAAACAAAAAGCCTGTTACCATTGAGTCATTTCTGTAGGAAATCCTACTTCCCTTTAGAATTTTCTAGGCTGTTTCCTTGATGGGATTTTACTGGAGCATCTTTTTCCCTTGGAGCAGCCAGTGGATTTGAACCACCAGCCTTTTGTATATTAGCAGCTGAGTGTCCAATCATTGTGTCACCAGGAGACCTGTAGTTGAGTTTGCCTGGGGTGGGGGTAAATCACCTCAAATTTAACTGCAAACAGAAATCTTTCTTGGTTAAAAGTAATTTCCAGTGTAAAGTAATAGGTTCTTTTTTGAATTTGTATTTTTATATTATAGATAAGTGTGTTGGGGAATGTTGGGGAGGAAGGGAGGGCCTCTGGCCAGGACAGATCACCTAGCTCCAGATAAGTGCAAGCCTCCCAACAGAAAGCTCCCCTGTGTTTGGCTGTACCTGCTTGAGAAAGCTCACCACCTGGGGAGATGTCTGCTGTGTCTTTTTTAGCTGGGAGTGGTCCACATGTGGCTGAGGTTCTCCTATCCAATCCACATATCCCACATCTGCAAGCCCACCCTATCCTGTCTTCCTGTTTACTTGCTTGTATATAAGTGCACTGCAGCCACCAATAAAGTTGAGCTGGACCGACTCTCTGAACAGCTCCTGGAGTGGTGTGTCTCTGTTGTGCTTACTCTCATCAAGGTGTTGCTGTTCGTTGCTGGCAAATGGACAGTGACACAAGTGGTTAAATGCTCACCTACTAACTGGAAGTATCCCAGCTCCTAGCCACTTTATGGAACAAAGAGAGACAGTGTGCTTAGGCCAAATTTATATCCTTTTATACACAGTAGGATGATTTTACTCTGTCCTGTAGGATTGTTATGAGTTAGAATCAGCTCCATGAGCTTGATTTTAGTTTTGTATGTTCCAATAACATTTTTATGTTTACTTTCTTCAGAGGTGGCAAAACAGACATTTCAAGCAAAAGGCATCTTAGCAGGAGAGAGCAGAAGTTTTAAACCTCATTTGACCTTCATGAAATTGTCAAAAGCACCCTGGCTCCATAAGAATGTGAGTTCACATTTTTATCCTAAGCCTTGTTTTGTTTTACCAGGCCACACCATCCTTAAGCATGTCTGGGACACAAATGACACTTATGATGGCTTCTGATGCTCTATCACTATTGCTCTGGGGATCCCAAATTGGTCCTAATCCTCAACAATGTTTAGAGGCTCAAAAAAAAAGGCTAAGTAGATACCATTACAGCTGTGCCCTCCTTTGCCTTGTGGCTATTGGATGCATATACTGCAGCTGTTTACACTTGCTATTGCCTCGACTGCTTTGAACTTTCAAAGCTTTGAGGCGATACCCAAATTCTGCTTTGCTGCTTTATTTATTAGCTGATAGTTATTTGCAACCTGTTGCTCTCAAAGCTGTCTCCACTGGCCTCCATGTATTGATGCTGTTCACTGCACCGAGTTATTCAAGATGGGAGGCTTCTGGAGCCTGCCCTCCCTTTACTACAGATAGTTAGACTCTCAAAGAACAAGACTTTGCTCTTTGAGCTCTTGCCTTCATGAGGACTTGGAGCAAGTGTGTTAGGGACTGGCTGAGGCAGGCGTCAAAGTCCTTCTCCTTGAGCATGGTCAGCAGTGACACACGCGAAGGAACGTGTTGTAGGGCTGCTCCTTATCTCTGAGTGATCTTCTGCCTTCTCAGGACATCCCGTCCACCATAGAAGTTGAGAGATTTTTTTTCTTGAGATTCTGAACATTTCTTCCAGAATCCTAATGGTACCCTTCTTTGTTTTTCCCGTCAGTTTAGGGCGTATTCAAGTTAAGACATGTACTGACCTCCTGTGGTATGCCAGAGTTTTCAAAACAAGATATGCAGATTAATATATGCTCCCTGCTTTTTCTGTCCCTTTTCTGCAGTAAAGACAGATTTATGGCTTTAAAAGTGAAGTCCATGCTTCTTCGTAAATAGATCTTCTCTCTCACACACACACACACACACACACACACACACATCTTGGCATAGTTTACATTTACTTGTGCTCAGAGAGCCTTTTCTTCTTCCTTCAAATATGGGTTCGAGTGACTGACCAGTCTGTTTTACACGAACTGTTGTTAAAGATGCCCCCCCAAAAGGGACCTTGCATGGCTTTTTTATAACTGTGCCATAAATTCAATAATAGCTATATTAGGTACTATTCCTGAGTATGCAAGCTAAAAGTAATCTGTCTATAATATATTTTGGAATTATGATATCTTAACAAAATGTATAGACTGATAGTCCACTTTTTATTTGTATCTTTCTTTTGCATTCAAATGGATTGTGCTCACCCAGTGGTTTCATACTTAATCACAGAATGAAAAATCAGAATTGAAGGTAACATTCCCATCTCAAAATGTTTTTTTTTATCTTTATGGAATTAAATTTGAAGTGAAAAGGACCCAAAGACCTTTATAAAATCTATGTTTATTTTAGAATCTGTATTTCAAATTGCATCTAAGTTGTCCCTTGGCAGTTAAATTTCATAGAACTGATGCCTTCACTTTAGAGAAAAAGGAATATTAGACTCAGGAAAATTGAGAGACTTACCTGAAATCACATTCTCTTTTGTTGCAACATCCTTTGTAAAGTTCTTCTTACTTAATTAGCAGCCTCATGTCTGGTCAACTGCAGTTCATTCATTCATACATGTTAAGGACTTCCTAGTCCAATTAATGTTAACAAGAATTTATTGAGGGCCCACTATATGCTAGGCACTAGGTGCTAGGCATAAATACCTGATCAAAATAAGAACCATCCCTACTATTTTTTTCTTTCAAAATAGTATATAGCATTAAAAGAAAATTGTGTTTTGTTTAGATTAGAATATTAAATATAGAGAAAATACATTTTAATCTTACAGCATTAAAAAGCAATGATGCCAGTCTGGGGACTAACATCCACCTGATTCAGGTCATAGTTTTCACAATTACTTGCTATGCATCAGTGAACTTGACAGTGACTAGGGTTGACAGAAGACTTGAAGCCGGTAAGTTATGGTGCTGGAGAAGAATATTGAATATACCATTAATAGTTAAGAGAACAAACAGTTTTATCTTACAGAGCTTGAAACCAAGCTGTTCCTTAGAGAGTAGGATTTTGAAGCTACATTTCATATGCACATGTTGCCAGGAGAGACCAGTCCCTAGGACATCATACTTGGAATAGTGGAGGGACAGCACAAAAATGAAGACACTCGATCAGATGGATTGATGCAGTAACTGGGGTAAAACGGATAGGTGTGTCAGAGTCACGGAGACTGGCTCAAGTTAGAGCTGAGTTCAGAGCTATTGTGCATAGGATCTCTGTCACAGAGACTTGATGGCACCTAAAAACAACAACAACAGCAACAATAACAACCTACAGTGGTTTTTTTATATTCAGTAAGTGCCTTAAAGAAATCTATTCCAAATAATCAGTAGAGTAGTATTCTTGGAAACATGTAAGCTTAAATATATGTAGCAGTTTACGCAGTAAATAATTGGTCTTATGGTACAAGATTAAAACCAGTAAGAAAATATGATATGCATAAAGGTAGATTTCATTTATTTGCTTCATTATTATTTGTGGTTTGAAATATCTGTTGTTTGAAAGTATATGCAGTTCATAAGAAAACATCTTGAAATATTCATATCCTTGAGCTAAGAAAACTGCTGCTGAGATGACTTAAATCATTCAGAAGAGAAAATTCTGATGCATAAAAAATGTTCATAGAAACACTAAGAGAAAAATTAAAAATAACTTTCACAAAAGTAAGGTCAGTTGATCTAAACATTTAATGAAATAGATAAATATGAGAATTATTTAACAGCATAAAAGGTAAATTAAATTTGGATTTAAAAAATTTAATTAAATTTTTTGTTGTTGTTGTTGGGTGCCATAGAGTCAAAACTGACTCATACCTGCCAGCCATAGGATTTCTACTTGTGTGGGAGATTGCCTCTCATTCTGCCAGAGTGGCTGGTGGTTCCAAAGTACATGTCTTTAGATTGTCAGTCCAGATTATTATCATTTGGCCACCAGTGTGTGTGTGTACACACACACACACACACACACACACACACACACACACACACACACTCTA